AAATTGTTTTGAAGGATGGATGAAATTGCAGAAAGATAACATGAGGAGGTAAAATAAATATAATAGCACAGGACAAAAATATAGAGGGTGAATGTAATTTAAAAGAGATATAGGCTATATATGAAAAGCCAGATAACTGGTGTGTGTTACAAGATAAACGTTAGTACATTATATATTATATAAAGGGTATGTAAGTGGAGTGTGTATTAAACAAAATGTGCATATATAAAATGTAAAAGTACATAGGATGTAAAAACTATGTAATAAATAGTGCAAAAACGTGTCTGTGACATTGTAAGTGGTGGCTGATGAGAGACAGTGACATTATTTCAATTATTTATTATTATTATTATTAATTATTTCCTATAAATAGAAGTATTTTGTAAGGTTTTGGACAGACAGTGCCAGGTTAGAGAGAACTGAACTGATCAGGTATCCTGGCCGTACATTCCTGACGTCTTACGTCGCCGTGACGCCCAGGCTGCTGCGCCGTAAGCCCCGCCCCCTCTACCGTCAACAACTGGATTCCAGATATTTGTATTTTCGTCCAGCTAGCACTGCTAGCGATGATTCATTGCGTTCGTAAAAAAACGAGCGACCCAATTTGAATGGGCGTGTATTCATTTGTGTTTGCTTGAAAAAAACACTCCATCGATACCGTGTGCCGATGTGCAGCCAGTGCCAGCAAAAGGACCGACGAGAGCGGAGGGATCGCGTTGCTCACCGTCGTTTAGCCGCCTCTGAAACCAGCTAACACAGCTAACACCTGACGGCAGCTGGCTGACAGCTGCTCGGTTAGCTGCGTGCCTTGTAACAGTAACGTAGCTCAGATTTACTGCCTGAAACAATGAGTCGTCTCTGACATTGGTGAGTATAATGAATGCGCCATTGCATGTCATTTGTTTTGACTCGCTTCAGCGTTGCATTGCGGGCTACAGACGGACTGGGCTAACCAGCGGCTTGTTTGTAGCAGCAGCTGCACGGAGCCACGCCTGGGGCCGTTTAAATGGACGTTTGCCGCCGACATTAGGTGTCATTTTTTTTGGTGTCAACTACTTTGCAATGCTCGGTTTTGTAGCACTACAAGAACCCCACTGTTTTGGTTTACAGAGAGGACTGAGGCCCAGTTGGTTGTCACATTGGAGTAACCGGAGCCCATAACTAGCAAGGTGGGTCTACGGTGCTGCCATCGAAGATAAACGGGTGAGCCGTAAGTCCACTCGCCGATGCACACCTGGTTTTGACCTGCGAGAGCTGCCAATATGATGCCGGTAAGTGAACACAACCCCTGCTCTCTTGTCATACATGTAGTAATCGACACTCCCTTTTTACTCTTACAAGATCAGTGATCAGCTAATGGTTTTAATGCCCACTTCTATATGCGCCTATCTAACCTGTGTGCAAGGTGGAGATCAATGCGCTCTGTGGTGTTCGGGGTTGTTCATTCACATGTGAGGGACATCTGGTTTAAGATGAAGAGCACAGTGTGATACGGTGCAAGATTGATGTGCGTCCATCTCCCCTTTCCCACTGCCACTCAGCCACTCATCGAGATCAGCTCCAAGAAATAAAAAGATGAACTTTATCTGCTATGATTGTATCTGGTCATACGTTTTTATGTTGTTTGCTACAGTGACTGAAACATTAGGAAGGGGGAATGTAAACAGTGTTTGGTGTACAGAGATTGTGCTGGATCTGAAGTCTGTTTGCACAAGGAATACAATGTGTTTTCCTCTAAAGAAGATGTAGTCCATGTTAGCAAATAAGTGCTGTATTGAACAAGTACACTATGTTTTCAGATTATGATTGGCAAACGTAACACAATCTTCCCTCTCTCTATAATATAATAATAATAATAATAATAATAATAATAATAGTAGTGAATCTGTGTTAATTACGAATTATCTGCAGTATTTGGATCAGTAGGTAGAGTACACTTTGGTACATAAGTCAATAACTATTTTCATTCTGTTGTTGGTGTTATTGTTGAAGACGTTAAGGACCTGAATGGTAACCCTGTTGGAGTCGTGCTTTGTTGGAACTTCTTTTGTTATCTTTAGTGCTCAGAATGCAGTGATGGATTGTGGGAGAAATGATTGTCGCTCTTTTGGCCTTCAGGGAGGGGAACACGAACTCAGACGCAGGAGATAAGTTTACAGTAGGTTGAGTAAGATGTCGTCATAAAAGGAGATGATTCAGTCGTAGCCAGTAACAAGCGCCTGCATTGGTTGAGAGTACGGCATCACGGCAACGTGTTGTTTGTCCTCATTAAAATGGCTTTAATTACAATGCAACTTCAGAGGGGCTTGTAATCTTTCAGGAGTACATAGTAACAGAGAAGTAAGTCCGCATTCGCTGCAGCCGTCGCAGGATTGACTGCGGTGGTAGCCTCTGTGGACGTTTGTACCCTGTGGCACCAACAGGCTATCAGAGTCAAAGAGCCAGTCGAGCAGAGAGGCAGCCCTGCACTTGGGTCTCGCGTGACTCCGGCAGCCAATGAGACCTTGGCAGATCTAGGTCTGTGTGGCTGCGTCGACTAATGCCCTGTTGTTAAGGGGAACTTTTGAGCTGAGTAGATTGTCAAGTGGCATTAATCTCATACAGAGGAGCCGGGCAGAGTGTGACTTACAGGAAATGTAAACATTGCATCTTATTGTCACTTTTACCTTTCTTGGAGTAGTGCTGGTTTAAAATGACATCGGCCAAGCCATCACATTTTTTTATAATCATTAAGCACTAAACTAAGAAGTAGTTTAATGGATGTGACTACCGCTGGTCGATATTTTCCCCAAGCTCACTGTGAATGGATAAAAATAGTTAGTTATTGATTTATTTAACAACTTCCACCTGGTCAAGACTGTTAGATCTCTTTTCTTATTGATTGAAGACCTATACATTATTAATTAGACTTTCTTAATGCCTTCCTCTAATGTGCATTAGTCAGCTGTCCATCAAAGGGACACATCCTTTTTTAAACAGCGGGTTATAACTTGTAGAGATCTGATACATTTCAGTGCCTCTGTCCAGAGTTGTATTTTCGCTTAGTCTTTAAACGACAAAGGCGAATATGTTTTCTAATATAAATTTGTAATATAAAAGGAGTTTGTACTTGATTGTACAAACTCTAGACACATAAGCTGTACTAGATTAGTCTGGATCACTCGGGTTATCCAGCTTAATAACAGAGCACGTTCTTGGAACATATTTTTAAGAAATTTCAATTTGGGTCTAAGACATCTCGTATTTACTGGAGTCCAAGAGTCCAGTGAATTTATCCAGTAAGTATTACCAAAAATACTTACAAAAAAATAATCTTATTTTTGTATGAATAATAAAAACAGAATTATTTTCTCCAGTTTTCAGACACTCTGGTTGGTTTGTTGTTCCAGTTTATTTCACCCCCCTTCCTCCATATGATTCAGTGCCATTTTAGCCAGACGGGCAGATGTTTGGCCTATTTTGCGTGCGTAGAATGGCTGGACTACAGATTTTTTTTTCTGAGTCAAAAATGTCAAAGACATCCTTTCTTATGTCCCAGTGAATGGCCGTCTTGGATTTAGCTACTGAACTATTTGTGTGTTTGTGCCTGACCAGACAATAAAGCAAAATCATGCCTAACACTGATCATAGTGTGTATGTTTGCCTGGTTATTCCACACATTTGAGCTTATCTGACTATTTTAATGGATTCGTTTGACGCAATGTAAGTAGATAAGTTTGGGAGTGGAATTCATCCTCGTTTTAATGTTGTTTTGTCGTCTGAAATCTGTTGCATTTGTGGAGGGTCTTTCCATGAAAGGATTTCTCTTCTTCGTTGTGGGTAAATGAGTGACAGGATCTGTGAGAAGAAATGACTGTTTGAATCATCGTGCTGGAGATCAGATCAGCCAAGCATCCCTCTTTCTCACTCAGAAGTTAAATGATGTATGACCCTATCTCCAGATGAGAGGGATACTGAATGTTTCTAGTCTTGTACAGCCAGCACACAGTGAAGAATGATCCCTGTCTTGCTTATATGTGATAGTGCCCTGACCTGCTTGCCAGTCACAGCTCCGGCCAAACTATTCTCATTAGCAGGGAGTCGTCGTGTCGCAGCCGTTGGCACGACCCTGGGACGATTTTGCAATAGAAGGATTTGTCTGCACCCTCCTCCACCCACCCTGTGACATCCTCTCTCTCTTTCTGTCTTTCTCTTACTGTTTGTTTCTCTCTAGCTCTCTCTCCCCCCTCCCTCCCTCCCCTCCCTCCCTCCTTCCCTCCCTCCTTCCCTCCCTCCTTCCCTGAATTACACATACAGCAAGTGTTTTTTCCTCCCAAGTCTCCTCTGCAGC